TATATATATATATATATAATACAAATATTCTTATACTTATTTATATTATATATATATATAGTTATTATATATATATTATATATCATATAATAGCGCGCTTCATATAAAAACTTCCAATTTATAACATAAATTGTGTAATGTCAATCATATATATATAAGTTACTTGATATTTGTCAAGGATATATAAATGATGTGGTTTTTGTGTAATTTTTACTAAAAATAAATTTTAATATATTATTAATTTTGTATGTATGAATTTATTCATTTGTAATACATAAAAAAAATATTGACCAATGAAATATCCAAGTTAATAGAATAAATGTACGATTGTATATCATGATATTTACATCGTGAAACTTAATTAAATAATATGAAAATATATTTCTATTGCAGATTTTGTTTTTCGGTCTTTCTATGCTTTTCAGCTTCTTCCTTATCACTGAAATATTCATACGATTCATCTGAATCTTCCATTTGAACTGCAGCATTTGAGTGATGGTTATCTATTACTTGTTTTGTTTGCTCATTGTTAGTATTGTGTTCAGGCATTACTTGTTTATAAATTGCCATCGCCTACAATATATGATACAAAACATTTTAATTATGCTATTAATAAATCTATAATGAATGATAATAGCAAAATAATAAAGGGTTTATTAAATGACAAACCTGTGCTACAAATGTCGAAACATCTCCTACATTGCTCGGCAATATCAATGTATTATTAACTTTTGCTAATTTGTCGAATGCATTGACATATTGCTCTGCTATGCTAAGCGCTGCCGCATTTTTTGCGTCTGTTGCACCAAGAGCATTTGCAACTACTTGTAATCCTTTTGCTCGTGCCTCCGCTACTGCTACTACCGCTGCAGCTTGTCCTGTAGCTTTATTTATTTGCTCTTGCCTTGCAGCTTCTATAATAATAATAAAATCTCTATTGTCTTAAAAATAAAACATTCCTTGCCAAAATATATATATTCATGCAGAAATATAAATATATTCTTTTCAGATTATAGATTATAAAAAAAACTATGCAAGACTCGACTCGCTCACACTAATTAAAAATTATATTGAATGTAAGTAATATAGTACCTGAAGCTAAAATTCGTGCAAGTCGTTTGCCCTCTGCTACATTTACTTCAGCCTCTCTGACACCTTCAGATTCTAATATAGCAGCACGTTTCTTCCGTTCGGCTTCTACCTGCATTTGCATTGCTTCCTGCACCCGTGGTGGTAATTTTATATCACCTGACATATAAATACAAATATTACATTAAAAATTTTAAAAACATTCTGTAGGTAGAAATTTTTTTAGTAGTATGTGAAACATTTTTATATTGTTATATTATATAATTATAAGAATCTTTTTAACTTACGTATCTCATATCGTAAGCATGTTATTCCCCATGCACTACTGGCCTTGTTAATACTTTCTTTCCCTAAATACTTTATCTAAAGATATCTTTCCTAATTCAGATCTCATAGTGGTTTGGGCTACTTGAATTACAGCAAATTCAGCATCCTCAACACCATAAGATGCTAGGTAAGGATCAGTTACTCTTAAATACAATACAGCATCAATACTCAGAGTTACATTATCTAAAAAAAAGAAAAATAGAAAAAGATGCAATTGTAAAAGTCATAATTAATACAGATGTTACTGGAGTTTATATATTTGATAATTATTTTTTAATATAATTATTATATTTAATAATTTATATAATTAATAATTATTCCCACCTGATGTAACTGCACTTTGTTGTGGTACATCTATCGCTAATTCCTTCAAAATTTGTACATATTTCACTTTATCAACAACAGGAAGTAAAATATTTAAACCTGGTTCTAAAATTTTATGAAATTTTCCCATTCTTTCTACAATCCATGCCTAAATAAAATGTTCTGTTTCAAATTAAAGGCTACTTCAATCAAACTCCAATTAACTTGATCGGCAATCAATTCAACTGGTAGAATTCCTACACACATCAAAATGTCTAACTATATAACATGTCATTTCCAGTTTAATCTTTGTTTTCATATTTATATATTAAACAAAAGATTAATAATTTATATTATCAAAATAATATTAATAAAAATACAGATATTACTTACTAGATTATTTGCCGATTAAGTTAATTAAAGTGTAATTAAAGTAGTTCTAAGTATTATTTGTTAATTTTGCATATAGCTGTACTACAAATATTTACAAGTTAGATAAGTTTGACTAAAAGTGATTTAATCCTAATAAATGAAAATTACACTAAAGTAAATATAAGTAATTCGTTATAATTGATATATGTTATGCAAACATATTGCGTTAAACAATTACATACCTGTTGTTGAGGAACAAACATTACAATAGTGTTTATTGGAGTTAGTGGTCTATATCGAGAATTTTGAGTCGTCGAGCCAAACTTTTTATTTCTTACACTTACAAATGCGTGATCCTATAAAATGCACTTTTTGTAAATTTTCGAAAATTTCCAGTCTTGCGTATATGACAATTCTTGTCAGCTATAACAAACGTTTTACCTTAATAAATCCGAAATTTCTTGCTAATACCATCGCACTACCAGTTGCTGCACGCTTATACATATTTGTTTAATTATATTAAACTGTATTGTATACTCATAAAATATAAGAATATTTATAGGTTATGATGGTTACGATATGTAGCGCAATGCCTTCGGAAAATAACCCGCCATTGTCATGTTAGACAATCTAACATGACAGAAAAAAAATTCTAAATATTTCGTATGCCCATGGTAATAAGCAATAATATTTAATTGACCAATTAGGACCAATTAAAACAAAATTTTATTTTTTTGTCCTGATTGGTCAGTCGAACGATACTTATTCCAAGGAGTAAATTTTAAAACGTAATCCATAGAAATTTATCTTTACACATATGCCACACGCTAGTGTTGTTTCGAAGAGAGTGCAGCGAATCATATAAGGAATGCGTTCCACTTAACATCCGCAATGCTCGCGAGCATCATCTATCTTTGTTTAACTATCGATAAACAACAAGGATGAAATGATACCGTGAGCATTGCGGGCATTAAATGGAACACGCCCCTAGATATTCGTATATCATACTTTTGTTTTTATTAGGGGGAATTCTTTAGCCGATAATTTAGGCTGTGTTCCGATTCTCCACCCGAGTGCACCCGATATTATAGTATACGTGACATATATTATAATTTCGGGTGCACCCGGGTGGAGAATCGGAACACAGCATTATTGATATGTCCGATAAAACTTATTGCCGCGCAACGAATAAAGAAAGTTGATAAAAGTTGGTAAAGTATCAAATTTTCGTCATATTTTTAAGAAACTTTAATAATCCATGATGATAGAGAAAAGGATGTTAATAAAACAATAATTTTTGAGTAATTTTGTGAATAAACGTATAGCATAAATTATATGAAGTACGTAGCAAAACTCTTGAAAGTTTTCTCGGAATTCTTTCTTTCTTTTTTATATGAAAATGTTTATCTTATCCACCATATAAAAATGTGTATTTATATATATATGCACCAGAAATTGCATTTATACAATCGAACATACAATATATAGTGTCTAGTTATATCCAAGAACAAATTTAAGTTAGGGCTACGTTTCAAAAAAAAGTTGATAAAAGTTGGTAAAGTATCAAATTTTCGTCATATTTTTAAGAAACTTTAATAATCCATGATGATAGAGAAAAGGATGTTAATAAAACAATAATTTTTGAGTAATTTTGTGAATAAACGTATAGCATAAATTATATGAAGTACGTAGCAAAACTCTTGAAAGTTTTCTCGGAATTCTTTCTTTCTTTTTTATATGAAAATGTTTATCTTATCCACCATATAAAAATGTGTATTTATATATATATATGCACCAGAAATTGCATTTATACAATCGAACATACAATATATAGTGTCTAGTTATATCCAAGAACACAAATTTAAGTTAGGGCTACGTTTCAAAAAACGTAGGCCACGTACTCTTCGAGGAAAATTTTACTCGATGGCAATTCCGAAACTTTTTTGAGCGTTTCTGATTGGTTCCAGGACGGTCATCGAGCAAAATTTTACATCGTTTTGGAAACTAGCCTAAAATAGTTTCGCAATGATCAAAATATAGACTTAATAAAAATAATAATTAATGAAACATAATCATATATAT